TATATTATCAGGAAGTGTGTGTAAGCCATATGTGAAAAGTGTTAATCAAGGTAACCGATCCATACACAATTTTGCGTCACGTTGCAATGTCAAAAAAATCGTTTGAAATGTGGTTGCTATTAATATTAGAAAATTTCGCCCCATATTATATGGTTTCCATGAAGGAAAGTGTTATAAAACTCGATAATGTTCTTTAGCGAGTGTTTTCGTAATTATGTTAATACGTTAACAATAAAAAAATATACAATCGGTGATTTATGCATGCAAGTCTTTAATGTGGCCGAAAGCATCCGACAATAGACATTGCTAGTGCGTAATGTTTGAAAACCATTGTACGATCTGGATTATGAGAAATTCCGTATATTAAGTTAAGTTTATTTACCACCCTGGCTACCTGCTCAGGCGTGGGCAATCATGATTACAGCTTTACATATATCTGACACAGTACAGTAGTCTGTGACTACTGTAATAGTACATGGTAATATAGAAATATGTCATACATCATACAAAAATAATACGTTAATATGCTTTTGCCACTGTGTTTACATAACACTGTTTTTGTTTACGGCAGTTTTACATAGTAAATTTAGGATGTAATACAAGTATATCTTCCAGTGTATCAGATGAAATGAAATATTCACATAGTTCTCTATACCTCACGTTAGGTGGTCTGAAAGGCTGTATCACATGACATTCCGATATGTAATGCTTAAGCGTTCGCTTGCTTTCTTCGTTATACAGTCTACATTTAGATTCATCTACACTTCTTGCACCGTGCAGTTGCCAATACATTCTGTAACCTAAACGTATTCTGGCAATAACCACGTCACATTGTCTGGTTCGACTTCGGTGCCACCCATAGGAGGGCTTGCTATCTCTATACTGATCGTAGTGCCTTATGATACAGATTTCAGGCCTTTTAGTGTTCGTCAGATCTACTAGTTCTTTCTTATGAGAACTTTTCAATATATGTGCAACCCTAGCAAGAGGCATCCCAATATCTATGTTCACAGTGTCTTTGCTGCAGGCTTCCTTTGAAAACCATTGTACGATCTGGATTATGTGAAATTCCGTATATTATTACCGAACTGTGGGTTTGGTTCCCGTTTTTTTTTTTTAATTTGGCGCGTCGGTCCGTACTTTCAAAGATGGCGGCGATATCCGTAGAGTTTCACTATCTGATTTTAAGTGTTTTTTGTGCTTGTTTACACATTTTTGCTTTTTATTTTGCCTATTTCAGTCTGTTTTACCCCGTAATTTCCCTGATCTACACCTTGCCCTCCCTTGCTATCGGGACTTAGGAAATCACATCAAGATTATCGGCTGGAGAATCCGACGGATATCATCATTAGATTCGTTCTCATGACACGAGAACAAATTTGATGATATAAATATAGTCTGGGAAGACCCGGTTGTCATTTTTGGAAAATTAACCGCAAAATCTTACGACAGCAAAGGAACAGAAAAAGAAACCACTAAGTGATTCTGTTACCAAAGAGGAATGCTGCAATCTTGTCAGCAAACGTCTCGGGACAAGGTTGCGCCAACTACTAAAAGGTAAAGGAGAGATAGTTACTACCGGGACAAAAAAAAAAGGTGGAACAGTTCCCTTGGTGGTGCCAACAAACTAACGAACGATGTCATAGATCAGCTGACACGTTATTACGGGAAGGCCATCCGTGACACTGTAGGGAAGGATGTCGATGCCATGAGGAATGCAATATGGGCAACCTCCTGCCACTTGTCATCAACAGACGAAAAGCCGGCCCACTCCCTGTGCCCCTCTGGCCCCAACTCCTGGTGCTTCTACAAGAGGGCACAAGCAATGAACGAAGAACCCGACAGACATTGGCGTAGCGAAGGGGGGGGGGGGGTCGGGGGGTCAGAACCCCCCCATGGGCCATGGATATAGGGCACCATATCAAACTTGAAGTTATAATATTACATTTATATAACTTACAGAATGCGCTACAGACGACGTACAGGGATGTAAAAATCATTTTTTTTTCTCAAACTTGTCTTTGTAATACACAATTTATCATTCATCGTCCTTAAATGCCCTGGTTTGCATATAACGGCATTTTGCCTTTGATCTTCCAACAGATAAGATGTAACCCGAACAATAGGGTCCTGCGAAAGGAAATGGGTAGCACAATGTTATCTAGTTACTGATATTGTTAGCAAGATCAATTAAATGTGTACATATGCCGAGAAACAGCCAGGAAATACAACCCTTTTTGATGAGAGCTTGTCAATTGTGATATTGAATTACAACTATAGAACCACCTTATCTACCCATCCTACATTATACTACAATGATTTATCTTCGGAGAATGCTTAAAACTGCCAAAAATAATATGTATGAGGGGAGGGGGATACCCCTCCCTATCACCCTCCCCCAAACGCGCTTCCAGCGCGTCTCCACGCGCCTCCGGCGCCTGTCTACATTTTTTTTGGAAGACACTTGTAACCCCCCCCCCCCCCATTGGAAAATTCTCGC